TAAATAAACAAAATCTTTAAAAAAAAAATAAAAGCTTTACATAGGTTACCATTAACAGTAGTAATTTATTTACGAAGTAATCTCTCCCCTGTAACGGGGTGCTCGAGCTCACAATCCCAAGATCAAGAGTTGCATGCTCCAGCAACTGAGACAGCCAGGCACCCCTAAAACAGCACCCGACAACTCTGAGCGCTCGTTTGGCGCGAGGCATTTTGCTGAGAGCTTCATCTGTGGTCTCATTTAGCTATTTTGCAGGCGTGCGTTCCTTCCGTTAACCGAGGGCACAGCACTGCCAGAATGTGTTAATTTATGAAGCAAAGTACTTCAGTGAATTTCCCCACATTCCTGAATAGATAAAAGATGATCAAAATATTAATAATTGTTGAAACTGGGGGGATCCATACATAGGGTTTGATCCATACATCATACTCTTCTACTTTTGGGAACTCTTCCCAAGATCAGCCGTCCTGCCTATGTTCCTTTCTGGACGTTTCCAGCTGAGGGTAACAGTGGCTTACTTGCGGGGATGAATGTGTCTGCAGCTGGGGACAGAAAGATTGGTGGCATTTACGCTGCACCCCCCACCCAGTTCTTCCAAACGCACACAGGAATTTTCTCTCTCTCTCTCTCTCTTTTTTTATATAAATCTCTGTCATATGCATAGAAATCTATGCAAAGGTGTTCAGGGCTTTCTTTGGTGGCAAGTTCAGGAGGTGGCACTGTTGGGGACCCTTGCTCTTTTTATCTCCCAGACTCCACTGTTACCTTCATTTGGGAAGAGCAGCTTCCTTCCTATGGGGGCCAGATGCTCCCTAACTCCACACAGTTCTGGTGGGGTGGGGCTGCTACCCCAAGTGCCCCAGCTCCTGGCCGTAGGGCTGGGTGTGTAATCAGAGACTGGCCACACATATACTCTACTTGGTGTTGACCACCTTCGTTGACCTGTGGATGGACACGTGACCTGAACCAGGTCAATTAGGATCCTTTCCTACAATCGTATTTACAGATGGTAAAACCAAAAAACAAAACAACAACAAAACACCCCCCCAAAACCAACACCACCATCCCCTCCCCACCGCCACCACAAGGCCTCTTTCCCCTGGGATCACGAGCTGAGGTCATGGAGCTGTCCCTGGTAACGCTCTCTCCACCCACCGGCCTGTGGAAAAGCTCATCTATAATAGGAAAAAATAAGGTCAAAACATTGACAAAACCAGGGAGAAAAAGAGTAGGCTCAAGAGTGAGAATGAATGTGGGAAAGCAACGATGATGGTGCTTGGCCGAAGCCCTGATGCTCTCCTCTCTGTTGCAAGATGGGAGTCAGTCCCCAGTCCCCGGGCGCTTCCCTCAAGTGAGTGGGTTGCGGTTCTGTTATTTGTATGTCGTTTGTGTTTGTATTTTGTTATTTGTAAAGGTGGGCCCGAAGGAGAGCTACTGCTCGGTGCTTCGGGTACTTCGGGTACCGGGTACCGGGTGAACTCCAGCTGGGAATTACCATCACGCAGTGTCTGGAACATGCAAGTGCTCACGAAATATGTGCAGAGAGAGAGAGAGAGAGAGAGAGAGAGAGAGAGAGAGAACTCCTCCTCCATCCCCGTTAAGCCCTTTGGTGGTTTTATCTGACTTGTTGGTGCATCGATTGAAATAGAATATTTATCTCCTTGGCCCGCTTGATGGATGTGACTTGCAGATGTTTGCTGATTACATCGGAGTGTCTCCAGTACGACTGTATTTGCAACTGAAAGCCCCTTTTTGTACCGCCAGAAACATCAGCTTTCAACCCAGATTCCTAAGACTCTGGTTCTCCAAGAAGCCCTTGATGACGCAGCACACGGGCCCACCTCCGAGCACATCGGTCAGCTTACCAGCTCTCGGGCACCTTTACACGAGTGTCGGGCGCCCTGGGGATCAGGGCAGGGGTGACGGGTGGAAGTCTGGCAGCTCTTTAGAAGGGAGGCCAGGCGGTGCTGTGCCAGTATAATTAATGAGAGTCATCGCTCTGGAAGCCAGAGGAGAGTGGGGGTGGGGAAGGAGGTCTCTCACCAGTAAATGGCATTTAAGAAAAATCGGTGCTTTCATGGCCCTTTTACTGCACAGACGAGGTTAAGTCAAAGGACTGCTGTAAAGGGCCTTGGGGAACTCTGCGCGGAGGAGGGTCCCCGAGCCGCCGCCTGGGGAAGCCAGGAGGGTTGAACCCCAGGCTTTCCAGCGGGTCTGATTTCAACCTTGAATTGAGCTGCCAGCAGGAGTCCCTTATACTCCTGGAGCAGGAAAAGGGGTGAGTCCTTAAAAAAACGCCTGTAGTTTGGGTGGCCCAGAGACCACTCAAAAAAGGTACTACGCTATAGGACCTGCCCAAAGAAGTGTGAATCCCAGTCCCATTTTTTCCCCAGTTCCCTTGTAACCGGTGAAGGAAGGGGGTGTTATTTGTTTTGTTTTTCTATTGACTATTCGGTAACCATGGAAGGGTTTGGGCAGCCTAGAGAGGCTGCACTACCACTGTCTAATCCCTTTGTTATCATTCCCTGGGATAGGCACCGGCGGGGAAAAGTAGTTCTTGTCTGGCTCCCAAACACTTAGCAGTGTGACAATATTTTCTTGGTTTTAGTTAGTGATTTTTCTCTGATTGATGGTGTTAAAAAAAAAAAAAACACCTCAGAGGGAGAAGCTACACGAAAAGATTTATGGATATCTTCATGTGTCTTCAACACTTAAGACCATGATTAAGTATGATTCACACGAAGGGAGGGAGAAGGGCCAGCAGATGGGGTTTGGGCTCTTATCTCCAATGCTCGATTTGAAAAAGAAGCGGTGGGGAGCGGGAGTGCTGTGTGGGTATTTGCCTCGGTTTCGGTGGGTTTGAAATATTGCCTAGAGAGAAAGTTTTGAAGCTCGTAAAATTGTGGACATCGATTAACACTTTCAAAATAAGACTCTGACAAACAAGTGCTCCTGCTGTGAATTTTGCGTCTGGGCTTATTTTAAGGCGCGCATCTGTGGTTTTTCAGGGATAAGAAAGACAAGACGGGAGGCTTGGAGTGGGTAACCTCCGTGGTTGTGTGCGGGGTCGTCTTGGGGTGTGTGTGTGTGTGTGTGTGTCTTATTCTCTTTTTGGCCTTCCTGTTCACCATGGAGATGGCCAGCAAAACACACCTCTAAAAACCATCTATTTGTAAGCAAAGCGAGAAGCAATTTGGGGGTAGGAGAGGAGTTACCTGTTTAATTTCTTATGGACATGTCCTACGGACATGTTAAAAAAAAAAAACCACTTAGGAAGTTTTCTTTCTTTGGAGCCAAGGAACCTTATATGTCTTTTTTCCAAATTGGATTTTTCTTGGTACCCTGGCATGAAGAAATTCAAGGGACTACTCTGGTGGCTTTCTCTCTCTCTCTCTCTCTCTCTCTCTCTTTTTTTGAGAGTCCAGGATTGCTTTCAGGATAAAGTTTCTCCTCGCCCATGGTGCTTTGCTGTGACATTGTAATTGCCTCTGTTGAATTGAATAATACAAATGGGTTGTTTCTATGGCATCGGCTAAGTGGGATGAAAAGGTGAAACCCTAGATGTTGCGCTGGGAGGTCACGGTGCACCCCCCCACCCCCACCCCCACCCCCCTGCACTAACCGCCCTGCTCTCCTCGCCCGGCCGCTCGCTTTGCAGCTTCCTGAGCAAATTCACGCATGAAAAAGAAAATGACTTTAGTTTATGTTGTCACTAAGCCCAGAAAAATCCCTGCGCACCCGGGGCTGCCAGCTTTCCTAGGACCTTCTTATTGGTGGAGAGTTTTAAATTGAAGGTGAGCGAGGAGCGGAGACTCCAAGTCCCTCCCAGCCAGGCTTTGAACTAACAATGGGGCAGGTTGAATGAAGGCTGAGAACTGCAAATCCTGGAATCCAGGGGCCGGATCCCCCCGCGGCTGCAGGGCCCGCGCGCGCGCGCTCGGGGGCTCCCCGCTAGCTGCGCACCTACTGTGTGCACTGCCCCTGCGCCGCGGCTGCTGGGCCGTCCCGTCAATCCGATTGAGTCACTGAGCCGTTTAGGAGAAGCATCTGGAAGAAGAGATGTGCGGGGCACGGGGAGGGGGAGTAAGTGCTACCCACACTCCCTCTTAAGGCAGGTCTCCTCGGTCACAACAGCTTCATAGATGCTGTCTTCTTCTTCTTCTTTTAAAGATTTTTTTAAAAAATAAATATTTTTTATTGCTGTTCAATTTGCCAACATATAGCATAACACCCAGGGCTCATCCCATCAAGTGCCCCCCTCAGTGCCCGCCCCCCAGTCACCCCCACCCCCACCTCCCTTTCTACCACCCCTAGTTCGTTCTTTTTTTTTTTTTTAAGATTTTATTTATTTATAAGAAACACACACACACACACACACACACACACACACACACACAGAGGCAGAGACCGCAGGCAGAGGGAGGAGCAGGCTCCCTGCAGGGAGCCCGACGCGGGACTCGATCCCAGGACCCCGGGGTCACGGCCTGGGCCGATGGCAGGCGCTAAGCCGCCGAGCCCCCCAGGGGCGCCCAGGCAGGTAAGCGCAGGTAACGCCAGGTGGGCGGCCCGCGACGCCCTTCGAGGTGAGGCTCTGACCCTTGAGCTCCAGCTGCAGGCGGCGCCGCTCCCTGCGCTCCCGCTTCCAACTTGGCGTCCCCGAAGCCCCGCATCCTGCAGCCCCCGAGGCTGCAGACCGAGCCCCGAGGAGGTGTCCCCGCTTCGGGAGGCTTGGCCCTGCGGGCAGGGCAGGGGGCCTCGCTGGCGGGCCGGGTGCCCCGGGGGCGCGGGGGCGCGGGGGGCTGCGGCGCGGGGAGGCCCCGGGAGCTCCGGTCCGCGCTCCGCAGCTCCAGTTCCTGATTTGCCCGGGAGCTGCGGGCCGGGAGGGAGGGGGCTCCGGCGAGCGCGTCGGGATTTGAATGAGAAAGCAGGTCGCGGCGGCGGCGCCCCGCTCTGCCCGGGCGGCTCGGGGCTTCCGCGGGCGTCGGGGGGCTGTGCGCTTCTCGGTGCCCCCCGGCAGGGCTGCTCGGGCCGGGAGCACGGGGCCCTAGACCCCCAGGCCGCCCTGCGCAGGCTGCTCCCGTGCCCGGGACCCCAGGAATCCTTCAAATGCTGAACACTCGGAGTTGAGCAGGTCAGTGCTGGGGCGGGGGGGGGGACCCCGGCGGCGAGCGGGGCTGAGGGCGAGCAGACCAGGTGTGCGGACGAGCAGGTGGCCCGAGCTCCGTCCGCAGCCCGGGCGGGACCCGGCGAGCCGGGGTTGCGGTGCGTGGGGATCCCCGAGCCCCCCTGCACGACGGGCCCTGCACCGGGCTCGATGGGGGGCTCAGAGGGGGGCCCTGAGAAGATGTGCCTGTGCGTGCGCCCGCGCCTGATCTCATTGTCGGGTCGCCCGTCGGAGGCTGGAGCTTTGCAGCGGGAGGCCTCCGCCCACGCGGGGTCGCGGGGTCGCGGGGTCCCGGGGTCCCGGGGTCCCTGGGTCGCGTCCCTGCACCCCCGACCCCCGGGCGGGCCCCCCTCTCCCAGCGCGCGGGGTGCACTGCCCGTTGCACCTGGGGGGGTCTCGCGGCTGCCCCTGCGCCCAGGGAGCCCGTGCAGGACCCCTCGGGGTGGGTGGGGGAGCCCTGTAGGCTCAGCGCGGGGAGGAGGATTTACCCCATTACCCTCCCCGGGAGCAGACGGGAGCCCCGGAGCTGCCCGCCGGCGGGGGGCGGGGCCGGGAGCGAGGGGGCGTGGCCACAATGGGGGCGTGGCCAGGACGGGGCGGGGCCCAGCTACCGGCGCCGCTCTGCGCCTGCGCGCGGTTCCCATGGCGACGGCGCCGCCAGCCCGCGACGCCCCCGGCTCGCCCCTAAGCCCGGTCCCCCGCGCGGCGTCCGCGGCCCCCTCTCTCCTCCTCCTCCTCCTCCTCCTCCTCCTCCTTTGTTGTCGGTACCTCGGGGCGAGCTGCCGACGGGGCTTTCACGGTAGCAGCTCGGCACTGGAGCCACGACCCAGCCCCCGGGGCAGAAGCCTGTCCCCAGCCCCGCCGCCGCGCTTTACTGATTTGAGCGCAGACGGGAAGGAAAGGGTGAGAGCTTGCTCGTTGGGGCGGCCGCAGGGACTCCCCCCGCCCCCCGTACAGCTCATTTCCTTGGAGGTGAGGCATCAAAAAAAAAAAAAAAACAATTGCAGCGCGGTGGCTGCCCCCGAGCAGTGAGGCTGCAGAGCTGCGCCTCCCCTGCACCTGGCGAGGCGCGCGGCCGGGACACCTGTGTCCCCCGAGCGGCCCGGGTCCGGGAGGCGCAGAGCTGCAGGACCCGCCCACGGAGATGCCAGCGCAGAGAAACAAAGGCTTTGCCCGAAGTGGGGAGGGGTGGTTTGCCCAGTTGCCCCAGCTGGTCACTTCTGGGGTTAATCTGCAGGGAATGCTTCCAGAAGCCTTGATGGGAACCAGTCCGATTTCTCAAGCCTCCCGTTAAAAGTGTCACTTTTCCTTTTCTTGAAATCGTGAGTCCTGACAGCTCTGTCCCTTCCAAGGGGTGGTGGTGGTGGTGGTGGGGAGGATCTGGTTTGTTTAGCCCAGGTCAGCATTTGGCAGGGGGCACAGGCCTCAGGGGGGATGCAGGAGCTGCGTGCATCATCTCAGTTGCTCGTCGGTGGTTAGCAGGGTTAACATGCCTGGCTGCCGGGAAGTTAGCATGCACTAACATCAACACAACCAATAAAAGTTTGAAAACGGAGTTACCCCCTCTGGAATGAAGCGTGGCATAAAAATACCGGAGCTGAAGCACTAGGGGTCCCCTCCTGCTGTATCCTACTTTTAAACCATTTGCTTTCAAGAATAGCAAATGTTCATCAGCGGTGGAAGTTTTCAGCCAATGTCCTTCCCCCCGTCAGACGACGAAGTCAACGTAATTCTACTTTTCAGATGATTAGCAAATAACATGCTGTTAAGGTTCTCTCTCCCATCCCGTTCATTATGAATGCCTAGACATTATGCAATCCATCTAGCTCCCGTGTTAAAAAAAAAAAAAGTCCAATTAAGTTTCTCCCCCCTCCCTTTTCTCACAGTTAAAAAAAAATAGAAAAACTCTTAATTTTCAGGTTCAGATACTTTGTGACCCTATTTGGTGGTTTGTAACTGGCTCCAATTCCCTAATTCTCAGTGACATGTGTTTCTGCTGGTTCCAGGAGGTAAACTGCAGTTTAGCAGATCATGGGATAATGAGATTGGGAGTGCTTGGGGGAAGGCCGGGGGAGAGGCCTGGGAAGGAGACAAAGGGGGGGAAGGCTGATGGGCAGAGCCGGGATTTATAGCTGCACCAGGTTCTGCATAAAAGCTGTGAAAGTCCTGGCTTCTGTTAGATACATTTTCTCACAGCATCAGTATCAATTAAACTTATTTTTAGAATCAGTCTTCTAAATAATTAGAAGGATAGAATTGTAAACATAGGATATTATAGTGGTGCTTTGTGTTAGTGTGCCATGATGTAATTGGGAAAACTCTTAATTAAATGTTTTCTGCTTAATTTATTCATTTAGTCAAATTTTTATTGAAAACTATCTATAAGGCCAGATAAATCAATCCGGAGCCCTGCCTTCCATAAACTCAGAGTTGAGTTCTGAAATAATTCTCATGCTGTTTCAGGTTTTCAGAGCAGATAAGAGTACTCTAAATCAACTGTTCTCCCTAAGTGTTGAGCAGTCCTACATCTAGATTCAGAAACAAACGCTTAAACTGGGATTTAAAAAAATACCCCAAAGACTGCTTTTGAGTATTTTAGATAAAAAAAAAAAAATACATGTATAGTGAGAAGAATTGTGTGCACCAATTCTATTTAATTTTTTTTTTTTTTTTTTTTTTTTTTTTTTTTTACATTTTTGTAGTACAGACTGGGCCCTAACATTTGCTGTCTTCCGAAGTACAGTACTGAGTTTGGGAGGAACAGAAAAACCCCGTAATTCTCAGGTTTCTTAGATGAAGATAAGGTGAGTGATTCAGTAGTCCTTTGTTCTGGCTCCATGTTTCATGACATAATAAACCTCCTGCAGCTCCTTTCTAAGAATAGTGTTGGTCCGCATGCTTGAAGGATCATGACTATTATTTCTCTGCGGGGAGGAAAAAAGGAAAATTATGATAGAAGGGGGGAAACGAATAAAGGATTACAGTAGGGCATTTAAACATTTTAACTTTTGAGCTGGCCTAATTCTAGGCATTTTTAGTGAGTTTAGACTCTATTGAAATCCATTATGGCAATGACACCTCCCTTGGCGTAACACTGACCAAGGTGGAGAAGCCCTTCCTCTTTCGCAGAACGTGGAAAGTTAGGGAGACAGGCGTCTCCTTTTTCCCCCCACCACCTCATGGGTTTAACAATTATCAGCCCAGAGAATCTTGCTGAAGAGCATCCCCATTTGGTTATTGCTCTTTGTCTAGGAAAATCAGACTCAGCTGTGAAGTGTGGACCAAGTGGTGCAGAACTCATTACTTTGAACAATGCCTCCTCTGCCTGGGAAGCATGTTTTCTCTTCTCACTCGTAGGGGCTTATTCCAGGCTGGCGTCGCTCACAAGGAAAATCATTTAGACACAGTTCAGTGGACACTCGCTCACATCTCTTTGACACCCGTGACCATTTTTGTTTAAGGAGAAATCCAGTACTGCTGTGGTAGGGTGTGCCGAATTAGAAGTGCATTTGAAGAAGCCCACGAAGAAGTTTACGCAGCTTGGTCTTATTATCATCAGGGTCTCTGTCTTCTGTGCTTCAAAGTAGAAGAGGACAGGATGGGCGCGCAGGGGACAACCAGGAGAACCTTTATTACAGCCAGGTTAAAAACTTTCTCACCAACTCTGCATTTTGGATGCGCTAAGCTAAGCACCTGCGCCCTGTTACAGTCAGAAAATTACAGGGCAAGGTTCTAACAGCCCTGCTGTTCCCCGAAAACCAAGGGCAGGCTCATAGGAAACCGTGCTCTAGACTTGAATTGCTGTAGGTGTGGGCAGCAGCAGTGTCATATGATCTAATCTGATTTCATCAAGTGGGATCGACAGTGGGCACCTTCTGATTACATGTTTGGTTACATACATGGGTGGATCTGACGAACACATGGTCTGCATATATGCAAAAATCTTTTCTTCTGTTTTCTTAGTCTGTTTTGGCCTGAGGAATTCTGACATCATTATGATTGAATGTAATGGGGAACACTTCTTCTGGTTATTTAGTAAGTATCTTAAGGAGTTCTGGAAGAAGAGGAGAAAATGAACATTAGCATGTCCCAACCACGGGCCTAGACATTTCCTGTCAGTCTCTTTAAAGCCCACAATAGGGCAGCCCTGGTGGCTCAGCGGTTTAAGCGCCTGCCTTCAGCTCAGGGTGTGACCCCGGAGTCCTGGGATCAAGTCCTACGTTGGGATCCCTGCATGGAGCCTGCTTCTCCCTCTGCCTGTGTCTCTGCCCACCCCCTCTCTTTGTGACTCTTGTGAAAAAAATAATAAAATCTGAACATAAATAAATAAATAAAAAATAAAGCCCACAATAACCCAGAGGCAGGAGTTCTCTCCCATCACTGATTTCTCAGCCCACGATCTAAGCCAGCCTGGAAGGGACATGGAATTTGCGGTCCTACTGCCTGTGTGGTCTATCATGTCACATTGCCACTCAGGAAACCAAGACTCATTCATTCATTCATTCATTCATTTATTTATTTATTTATTAAGACTCAATTTACAACGAATATGGAGTTGGTTTTCTTTCCAGACTCGCATTCTATCCAAAGTACAAATGGCTGGAAGTGTTTCCGATCAGCTTTTCGGTGAGCGGAGAAGCTGCATTCGCCATGTGGAGTTTAGAAGGTTATAAATTCAGGCCTGGTTCCAGAAAAACAGTCAAGACTTTGTTTATAAACCGTGTTGGCTATTTGTTTAGAAGCGACTGGTGGTCTTCTGCAAAGGCTTTTCCACATCAAAGTGGCCCGCTCTTTATCACTTCTAGATTGTTGTCGAATTGCGGTGGTCGAAGGTGGCCCCTCGTGATCTTAATGTGTGTTTTCTGGCCTCCCCAGACGTAGATGTTGACTTTATCCCATATAACCCTTGTGTCCTTATTTTCCTGAGATAGTATTGAGAGACTTACTGCTTGAATGAACCAGGGGGTGTCTTCCTGTAATGCCCTTCAAATTAGAGACCAGAATTATCTCGGATAGTTGCTGAAAATTTCTGAACTCCAGCTGGAGTTTTGGTGCTCCCGAACCGCTCCGCGTCGGGGCTGGGAACTTGAAACTCGATCGTACTGAGCGGGTTGCCGATTTGCAGTATTTTTGAGTTGGTTTCCCCACGCAGACACTGGAGCTTAGGGATGTCCACACTTACAGGGCCCAGCTGGGACTTGAACCTCGGCATTGCCGGCAGACAGACCTCGGGTCCAGGGCTCTTGCTAGCAAACCAGGCTTCACAAGCAGACCCCTGTCCTGGGCCTTTACTCCCTGTGTCGGACCCTAGAGGGAAAGAGAAGCTTGAGGATTTCAGAAGACGGAGGTGGACTCCACTTGGGGAATCGGCCCTGGAGGGCTCTCCGGGTTCGCGTGTCTGGGGCCTACCCGCCCAGGGGCCTCTGTTCTTTGCGCTGGTTCTCCTGTGCGCGCCAAGGGACTACTGCACCTGCCCGGCCCTTCAGGTGCACATTAATTATCAATCCCCACCGAAAGCCAGAAGGATCTGGTTTAGGGCTGGCACAGCTAGGTTACTGATTAACAGACCTGAGGCAGTCTCGGTTTCTTTTCCTCTGCCTTCACTTCCTTGTTGCTAATCCCCAAGAACCAGACATTCAAATTCAGCTTCCTACTTCCCTCTTGAATTTCGCGGGAGGAGCCTTTGGACCGAGGAACGGGTCTCCACGGGGTGTTAATGTCACCTCTGCGCCACTGCCCTTGCTGGGAACTTTGAAGATCCATATACTGGTTTGGTTTGGTTTTGTTTTCAGCAATCAGAATCTTGGACCAGAAATTCAGTAAGTCAATTTTTGTCATGTAATTGTATGCAATTTAGTTCTGTAGATCTCTTCTTCTTCTTCTTCTTCTTCTTCTTCCTCCTCCTCCTCCTCCTCCTCCTCTTCCTCCTCCTCCTCCTCCTCCTCCTTCTTCTTCCAAACAACTCTTTCTTAACCTTGAGTGATATGGGAGATATGGAAAAGAAACTTAGCTTTTTCGAAGACTTCTTGATAGAAAGGAGTAATGTGTTCATAGAAGGAGTTAAAATTATGGAAAGATCCCTTGATTTTTATTTCAGTCTAAGGACTTGGTTCCATACAACCATTTGTGCAAAAGAGAAGAGGCGGGAAGGTGGAGGAAAAAAAAGGGAGGGTTTCCTCGTTGCATATAGAATATCTCTGGAAGGGAATATGCAAGAAACTAATGTCGGTTGCTGGAGACAGATAAGAGATAAACCATTATTGTAAATGCTTTTGTGCCTTTTGAATTTTGAAACGTAAACTTAATAAAGTTAAAAAAAAAGAAAGAACGCCTGGGTTTCAGTAATAAAATAAATGAATAGTAATGACATTCTGACTCCTAACTGGGAGAAGTAGGAGACTGGGAAGAAATTTTAAAGAAAAGCAATTTTCTTTCTCACTATCTTTTTTTTTTTTTTTTAATTCCAGTGTAATTAGCATACAAGGTTATATTTGTTTCAGGTGTATAATGTAGTGATTCAGTAACTCGATACATTACTCAGTGCTCATCACGATAAGTGTACTCTCAATCCCCTTTATCTATTTCATCCATCCCCCCCACCTACCTCCCTTCTGGTAACCCCCAGTTTATTCTTTTAAGAGTCAGTTTTCCAGTTTGTCTTTTTTTCCTTGTTGTTTTGTTTCTTAAATTCTATGTATGAGTGAAATTGTATGATATTTGTTTCTTTGACTTATTTCACTTAGCGTTATACCTGCTAGATCCGTCCATCATTGCAGGTGGCAAGATTCCTTCTTTTGTACGGAAGAGTAATATCCCCTTGTACATATAGATACCACATTTTCTTCATCTGTTCATCTTTTGATGGATACTTGGGTTACTTCCATAATTTGGCTATTGAAAATAATGCTGCAATAAACATAGGGTTGCATATATATTTTCGAATTTGTGTTTTTGTATTCTTCGTGTAAATACCCAGTAGTGGACCATCATATGGTAGTTCTGTTTGTAATTTTTCTTTTTAAAGATTTTATTTATTTATTCATGAGAAACAGTGGGACTCAATCCCAGGACCCCGTGGTCACGGCCTAAGCTGAAGGCAGGTGCTCAACCACTGAGCCACCCAGGTGTCCCTGTTTGTAATTTTTTGGGGAACCTCCACTTTGTTTTCCACAGTGGTTGCACCAGTTTGCATTCCCATCAGCAGTGCACAAGAGTTCCTTTTTCTCCACATCCTCATCAACACTTGTTGTTTCCTATGTTTTTGAGTTTAGCCATTCTGACAGGGGTGAGGTGATAGTTTATGGGTTTATTTATTTATTTATTTATTTATTTTTTAGTTTGTGGTTTTGATTTGAATTCTTTCTTAGTATCTTTTCAAGTCTCACCAAAGTTCATATTTAGTAATTTGTAAAAGCAATTTTCCTTAAGCTCTTTTGGATTTCAATAACAGGGCTGGGGAAGTTTCTTTTCTTTCTTTTTTTTTTTTTTTTAAGATTTTATTTATTTATTTATTTATTCATGAAAGACACAGAGAGAGGCAGAGACCCAGGCAGAGGGAGAAGCAGGCTCCGTGCACGGGATCATGGCCTGAGTCAAAGGCAGACGCTCAACTGCTGAGCCACCCAGGTGCCCTGGAAGTTTCTGAATTTTGTGTGTGTGTGTGTGTGTGTGTGTGTGTGTGTGTGGTTTTCTTTCTTCTCATATAACATCACCTTTTGGCTGCAGCCAGACTCCGTGGACCATGGGAATCAGGCTTGTCCCACTCCTGACCAACGTCTCTTAGGCTGGTACCCTTCACCTCCTA